GTTTTACTCAGTTTCAGATAGTTTCAGACCATTTCAGTCGGTTTCAGTCAGTTTCAGGCAGTTTTACTCAGTTTCAGACCGTTTCAGTCAGTTTTACTCAGTTTCAGACAGTTTCAGACAGTTTCAGTCGGTTTCAGTCAGTTTCAGGCAGTTTTACTCAGTTTCAGACCGTTTCAGACAGTTTCTGTCAGTTTCAGTCAGTTTCAGACAGTTTCTGTCAGTTTCAGTCAGTTTCAGTCAGTTTTACTCAGTTTCAGACCGTTCAGACAGTTTTAGTCAGTTTTAGTCAGTTTCAGTCATTTTCAGACCGTTTCAGTCAGTTTCAGTAAGTTTCAGTCAGTTTCAGACAGTTTCAGTCAGTTTCAGTCAGTTTCAGACAGTTTCAGTCAGTTTCAGTCAGTTTCAGACAGTTTCAGTCAGTTTCAGACACAGATTTAGAGAGTTTCAGACAGTTTCAGACCGTTTCAGTCAGTTTATGACAGTTTCTAACAGTTTCAGACCGTTTCAGACACAGTTTCAGACCGTTTCAGTCAGTTTCAGACACAGTTTCAGTCAGTTTCAGACACAGTTTCAGACTGTTTCAGACAGTTTCAGTGAACTGTAATACGTGCTGAACATGAGCTGAAGGCTGAAGACAGTTTGAGTCAGTTTCAGATAGTTTGAGTCAGTTTCAGACACAGTTTCCGACAGTTTCAGACACAGTTTCAGACACAGTTTCAGACAGTTTCGAACAGTTTCAGACCGTTTCAGTCAGTTTTACTCAGTTTCAGACATTTTCAGTCAGTTTCAGACACAGTTTCAGACTGTTTCAGACAGTTTCAGTGAACTGTAATACGTGCTGAACATGAGCTGAAGGCTGTGTCTGTGTTTCAGCTTCGTGAACCTGCTGCTCAGTCAGTTTCAGACAGTTTCAGTCAGTTTCAGACAGTTTCAGACAGTTTCAGACAGTTTCTGACAGTTTCTGTCAGTTTCAGTCAGTTTCATTCAGTTTCAGTGAACTGTAATACGTGCTGAACATGAGTTGAAGGCTGTGTCTGTGTTTCAGATTCGTGAACCTGCTGCTCAGACAGTTTCAGTCAGTTTCAGACAGTTTCAGACAGTTTCTGACAGTTTCTGTCAGTTTCAGACAGTTTCAGACAGTTTCAGACAGTTTCAGTCAGTTTCAGTGAACTGTAATGCGTGCTGAACTTGAGCTGAAGGCTGTGTCTGTGTTTCAGCTTCGTGAACCTGCTGCTCAGTCAGTTTCAGACAGTTTCTGACAGTTTCTGTCAGTTTCAGTCAGTTTCAGTCAGTTTCAGTGAACTGTAATACGTGCTGAACATGAGCTGAAGGCTGTGTCTGTGTTTCAGCTTCGTGAACCTGCTGCTCAGACAGTTTCAGTCAGTTTCAGACAGTTTCAGACAGTTTCAGACAGTTTCAGTCAGTTTCAGACAGTTTCAGACAGTTTCAGTGAACTGTAATACGTGCTGAACATGAGCTGAAGGCTGTGTCTGTGTTTCAGCTTCGTGAACCTGCTGCTCAGACAGTTTCAGTTTCCGTCAGTTTCAGACAGTTTCAGTCAGTTTCAGACAGTTTCAGACAGTTTCAGTGAACTGTAATACGTGCTGAACATGAGCTGAAGGCTGTGTCTGTGTTTCAGCTTCGTGAACCTGCTGCTCAGTC